GAATACAGCCAGGAGGACCCTTCTGAAGAATGACGTTGTTCTGGCTTCGTCAGAGCCCTGTCCTTAGGTGACCGTGCTTGTCACACATCACGCGGCACTTTAATGCACTGATGCCATTTCACGTTTGGCTGAGGGATTGAGTAAAGCCCTGATGCTTCCCATCTTGGGCTAAGATATCGATGTGACTTTGCCATAGGTAGAGACACCTCCACCAGCCCAGGCTGCTCAAAGCTGTGTCTAACCTGGCCTTGAACGCTTCCAGGGTTGGGCATCCACAACTTCCCTGGGCAACCTGTGCTAGGGCCTCACCACCCTCACAGTAAAGAATTTCCTCCTAATTTCTAATCTAAATCTAACCTAAATCTACCCCCTTCCAGTTGATGACCACTGCCCCCAGCAGCGAGCATAGCTCTGGTCCAAAGGCAACGCTCCACATGATTCTGAGCTGACCTTGCTCTCCGTTGCTGCTCCCCAGGTGGTACCATGGGCACCTCACAGGCAAGGAGGCCGAGAAGCTCCTGACGGAGAAGGGGAAGCCGGGCAGCTTCCTGGTGCGGGAGAGCCAGAGCAAACCAGGAGACTTCGTGCTGTCGGTGCTGACAAATGAAGACAAGATGGAGAGCGGGGACCGGAAACCTCACGTCACCCACGTGATGATCCACTACCAGGTGGGAGATGTCCCTGCCCACCATGGCGGCCCAGCTGGGAGCCGTGCATCCCAGTTTTACCGTGGTTTTATCCTCTCTCGCAGCCGGATGGGAAGTACGATGTAGGGGGAGGAGAGAGGTTTGACACACTCACGGACCTGGTGGAGCACTATAAGAAAAACCCCATGGTGGAGAAATCAGGAGCTGTGGTTCACCTGAAGCAGGTAATGGCTGCTCTAGCAAATATTTGGTGGTTCTGGGCTCAGAAACCACCCACGCTCTGCACAGATCTGTCCCCAGAGAGGTCCCTGGTCTCACACTCAAGGCCTCAGGAACAGGCCTAACTCCTGCCAACACCCCCAGTGATTCAGGAACTGTTGTTTTCGGGTATTTTAAGGGGAATTTATCTATGTTTCTGTTACTGAAAGTGATTTCTGGTCTGTCTTCACACCTTTCAGCCGTTCAATGCCACGCGCATCAACGCGGCCAACATTGAAAACCGCGTGAAGGAGCTGAACAAAATGGCGGACCACAGCGAGAAGGCCAAGCAGGGCTTCTGGGAAGAGTTTGAGGTACAGGATGCTCTTGTTCTCTGTCCCACTCGTGCCTGTGGGTGAAAAATACCACATTTACATGGGAGCATCAAGGTTTTCCAGCACTGAGGACCTCTTCTCCACACTGTTGCTCATTTCCCTGTTCTCTGTGTTCAACTGAGTTACTTCCTGGTCTTTTTTTTTCATTGCTTTTTTTCTCGCATCCGAGGCAATCTCTCCTTCCTCATCAGAGATCTGTGTGCCTCTTATTCCCTGCAGGGATTTGTGCCTTCTCCTCCCATTAACTCTCATCAAGCTGCTTCTTGGCTCCCTTCCCCTTCCTGCCATCACTCTCTCTGCTCTCTTCAGCATTAGGAAACCAAGCAGCGTGTCCAAAGAGCCCTTCCTTTTGCTTCTCACTCTCCTTATCCACCCCTAACAGTTTGTTCTTGTCTGCTCTGCCCCACAGATGCTGCAGCAGCAAGAGTGCAAGCTCCTGTACCCCAGGAAGGAGGGCCAGCGACCTGAGAATAAGGCAAAGAATCGCTACAAGAACATCCTTCCCTGTAAGGAGACGCTAAATACTTATTTTGGGGGGGGGGTTTACTGTAATTTTTACAGCCTTCTCTGGGGCTTGTTAACCCTGCAGAGCTTTCTGAGCATAGCTGAGTTAGAAAGAGGTGTACGTGGTCATAGGAGAATAGTTCAAGTAGTTCATGGCCTTCTCCATCCCCTTCATAGCCTGGTCCTTCCCTTTTACATGGGGAAACTGCCAAATTGCTCTCCCTTCAAATATGCTTCAGAACTCAAGTGTAGTTCATAAGTCAGATGGAGCTGGAAACACTGCACAACTTGGCCTCAGGTCAGTCTACAACGCTGTGTATCACCAAAACCCATCCAAGTTCCTAAATTGGCCGCGTAGCTGTGAGCCAGGTGGTGTGGAGAATTGCTGAGTGTCATTAGGAGAGAGTTTTACACCCTCTTTTGCACTTGATAGCGGTGTGGTTTAGTGGTAAGAGCCTTGTGGGAGCCCTTGCTGGGAGCTGCTGTGGTTGCCCTGCTCTGCCCATCCTTGCTCTGGTTCGGGACCTGCTATTGTGTTCACACTGGGCTCTGCTCTCCTGCAGTTGACACCACGCGGGTGGCGCTCCGAGACGTGGATGAGAGCGTGCCCGGCTCGGACTACATCAATGCCAACTACATCAAGGTACTTGGGAAGGGAAGATGCCGTGCGGGGGCTGTCTGCAGCCCGGTGCTGTGTCTCTGGTGGGGGACATGTCATGGTGTAAGTCTTGAGGGAATGGCTTGGCAGGAATGAGTATTTTTCACTGTGTTCATGCCAAACACTGGATTTTTCTTCTGTATCCCAAGGGATGTCATCATTCTACCATGTCCTTTTTGCCCCTATTTTAGAGTTTATCTCAATCCCTTCCTTTCCTTACCTGTTCAGGAGGTATGGTGTGCTGCTCAAGGTGCACCAAAGCAGCTCCCAGCTTCTCACTCCAGCATCATTGGGTGTTTTTCCCCCTTCTCCTTTGCTCCTCAGAGCATCCCTGAAGACGGAAGGAGCTCGGAGCACTGCAAGGTCTACATAGCCACCCAGGGCTGCCTGCAGACGACGGTGAATGACTTCTGGGCCATGGTGTACCAGGAGAACAGCCATGTCATTGTCATGACCACTAAGGAGGTGGAGCGGGGCAGGGTGAGTACTTGTGGGGCAATGTCCCTAACCCTGAAAGTTACCTGCACTAATGGTGTCTAGTTAAGCTCTCTCTGCTTTGCTTTCATTTAATTCCTTTTCTGTCTTGTAATGTTGCATTAGCTCCTCTTCATGAAAGAAGCATTCGGCTTTGTGCTCCCCAGCCCCATAAATATTGATGGGGTGTCCCTCATATGCCTTGCTTCGGGGCTCTGAGGAATTGCAGGAGGCAGAGAGAGGGAGAAAGCATCGTGCTTGTTACAGCCAAGCTGGAAAATTTGGTGGAGACATTTCAAGCTGTGTGAGGGACAAAAGTAGTTATAAGATCTATCTCTATACACCAGTATGCGTTTCACTGAGATGGAGCTGGTAGGAGATGTTCTGGGATAGAGTATTCTTTTTTTTATTGGCAAAGTCGCTATAGCAAAGAGAGGATGGGCTGGAGGATGGTGGGGTACAGACAGGCTGTGTAGCCCCTTGGGATGGAGATTTGACTCAGGAGTTAGGGAATGGCCTGACCAACAGCTCTGGTGCTGTGTCTGTGCCTTTGGCAAAGTGATGCCTACCTGAGGAGGGAGATTCCCCCAAGGATCACGTCCTTCACGTAGGAACTGCCCTTTCCAGTACATCGAAACGCTCTGTGTATTCATTTCCTTTGAACCTTCACTTTGGGGCTGCACAACCTTTGCATGCAGCGGCATCGCTGAGCAGGGTGCTCAAGGGTTCACCCTCCAGCACCCCGGTCACTAATGAGCCACTTTCCAACGTTTCTGCAGAACAAATGCTTCCGCTATTGGCCGGACAAGAGCTGCACCAAGGAGTACGGGAGCATCTGTGTGCGCAACGTCAGCGAGCGGGAGGCGCAGGGCTACTACCTGCGGGAGCTGGAGATCTCGCGGACGGACAGGGTGAGCCCTGACGGGGAGCTGGGGCTTCCCTCTTGGGGTCTTTTTTTAATGAATGCTGAATTTATGCTTTGCTGGGTTAAAAACTGGCTGGGTGGCCGAGCACAGAGAGTTCTGGTGAATGGAGCTAAATCCAGTTGTGACCAGTCACAAGTGGTGTTCCCCAGGGCTTGGTTTTGGGGCCAGTCCTGTTTAACATCTTTATCAATGATCTGGATGAGAGGATTGAGTGCTCCATCAGCAAGTTTGCAGATGGCATTGAGTTGGAAGGGAGTGTTGATGTGCCTGAG